GAAACGAGAACAACAGCACGGAGGCGGGCTATTTCCTTATAGTTGGGTTTGTAGTGGCCAGAATTTGTTCCAGCAATTCATCAGGGAGTGAGAGAAGATAGGAAAAATCAGCATCACCACCTCTGTTTCTCCTTGGAACCATCGTTTATTTCGGTGAAAAGAGAAAAGATAAGAAAATGGAATGAGGAAGAGGAGAAAGGATTGAAAATGGTACGAAAGAGGAAGTTATGATGGTTCTAAGTAGGCAGTTACGGTGAAGGGATTGAATTTAAAGAGGTAGTGCGATTTTAATAGAGCCGAATAGTTGTCTTTGAAGAGAGACGTTGAAAAGAGACAAAAATGTGTCTTTTCGTTTACCGGAAAAATTAAATTACCACAATAAATACAAAGAATTACCAAATCAAAGCAAATTTCACCAATTAACTTTATTGATGAATGCTTTAATGTACTTTTTGATATACCACAATACATTTATGATTTCTGAGACAATACTATTAGTATTTATGATATTATCGCAATTTCATTAACAAGACAGCCCTTTTATAATTGTTGGAAAATAAATTTCTTGTCATCATTACAGACGTTTTCTCAACATCACGTTAACCGAGATATAGAGTACAGAATGAGTCCACATAGACGAAATCATGAATTTGTTTTGCAAATATGCGTACAGAAATAGGTAAGGTAAGGCTTTTAATAAATAATGTCGTGTGTATATCCATGTTCTCCGAAATTCTCTGAAAACAGATAATGTCGTTTGTTTACTCAAATATATAATATGTGATAACTGTAACATTCAGGTGTACAAATTTAGGTGTACATATTGAGTCCAGATTGAGGTGTTCTTTTTTTTTGTAGTTATTAGGCGTACACAGAGAGGTAAACTGAGACTTTAAAGATATAAGAGAACGGTTCTCGAAAAACTTGCACTACCACCCACCGAAATTAAATAAAGTCAGCACAATTAAAGTATCCATAGATAGAAAGCAAAACAAAGTACACCTACATACATACATACGTAGTAGGCCTAAATAAAATTTTAAATCTTAAAGTACGAAATAACAGCAACGCCGAGGTGTACTCAACTTAGGTGTACACACCAAGGTGTACACAACGCATGTGTACACACCGAAACTGGTTGACTTGCACCAATCAGTCACCATTCTTCCATTGACGGCCCAGAACGCGCTGCATACCAAACAAATACGAAGAACTTTTGCGTTTCCTGTGCCCAAAACACGACGTGCACATGCTTGGCCCCTTTAACAATTCGTCATGCCATTCAAGTTGAGCATTGGCAACACCACAGCGACAAGACCAAAGTGTGGCAAACTGAGCATTAGTCTCAAATCTCCTCCTCGAGAACTCTTCTGGCAAATTAACATAACCACGCTCACCTCCATCAATAATTTTCCGAATTATTCTCCTCATTGCCCCCCTCCCTAGTTTTGAAAGATACTCTAAACCCACGGGGTCTTCGACCACTGCTTTCATGTACATGCCATACATGTAAATACCTGTTTCGTATCCCATATCTGCAGATTCCTTGATGAGTTTTATGCCACATTTGTCTCCACGGCAGAAGTAGTCTTGCATCCCCTTAATGAACAGCAAACCAGGATTGATTGCGTCATACATCGTCCTCAACAAGTTGGGAAATTCTCAATACGCGATAAAAGGCATATCGAAATCTTCGGGAATAGGCATCTCCAATTCCACGAGATCAACCGATGCTAGAAAATTCTTGGTTAAAGTGCAGGCCTGGAACCGTTTGCAAACTTGCTTCAGTGTGAAAATTTGTTGGACGGAGTTGCAACTGTATGCGAGAACCTTCTCCAATAGTTCGTCGGGAAGCGCCATCAGAGGGGATTGACAATCACGGATATCCGCATCACATCGCCCTCTCTTTGGTGCCATAGTTAATTTGTGAGGTTCAATTGTGATGAAAACGGTTGTTTATGGAGATGGAATAACTGCGGTTTAGGATTTGTGAAGCGGAACGGTTCTTTATGTTGCATATATATAATAATTAAAAAAGCCTACTAAATGACCGTATACACTAAATGCGGTTACCGTTAAGATTGTAAATGAGTTTGTAAAATTAGTGGATAAACCATAAATTTCCTTGTTGTACACCCAGTTGATGTACACCTAAATGGATATTGGTGTACAGGTACATATTTAGCCGGGAACAAAGTATTCACACAACAATTAATAAATACTAAAATAATGTGAAGTATAAACAAATTTGTCTTTATGTACTCCCATTTGATGCATATTGGTGTACAACTAAACGCAATTAGGTGTACGGATACGCAATTATTAAAGTAAACTAAATTATAAGCAAATTAAATAATCGACACACCAATTATTAGATAGTAAAGTAAACAATATTATAAGCATATAAATTATTAAATTATCAAATAAACCCACATCCTAGACATTATCAAACACATAATCCAACAAATAATCCTTGCATAAATTGTCAAGTTCAACATTAAACTTCAACATTCGTCCTAAGCGTTGGCAATAGCCGGATTCCCGACAAACTCTACGTATGAGTCCATGGCGTATTTCTCCCTTAACCTGTCAACGTCATCGTCCGTTATCAAACCCATATCCTCCACTCCAAGGCCTACAGCATGCATCTCTAAGAATTTGGCCGCACATGGACCACAATCACAGGATCTTTTGTTCTGATATATGCCCTCCAAACGACTCCATGTGTAAGGGGTGGTGCGTAGGCCTTCCGTTAATTTGCTATCCAAATAACGCTTCAATATAAATGGCATACTTTGACACACGGGCGCCATATACTGCTCCACAGCCGCTTCATCATTATGACTGATGAATGAGTCCAAAATCTTTATGTTGCCCGTTTTAAAGTCAATTACAAGGCCCACCCAATGCTCAGACCCCCAGTTCATGGGGACGTATACTAACGTCCACAAAGCGTACAAACATTTGCCTCTG